TGAGGCGGCGGCGGCGGAGGGCGGCGGCGCGGGCGCGGAGGAGGTGGAGTGCCCGCTGTGCCTGGTGCGGCTGCCGCCCGAACGGGCCCCGCGCCTCCTCAGCTGCCCGCACCGTTCGTGCCGCGACTGCCTGCGCCACTACCTGCGCCTGGAGATCAGCGAGAGCCGGGTGCCCATCAGCTGCCCCGAGTGCAGCGAGCGACTCAACCCGCACGACATCCGCCTGCTGCTCGCCGACCCGCCGCTCATGCACAAGTACGAGGAGTTCATGTTGCGCCGATACCTGGCCTCGGACCCGGACTGCCGCTGGTGTCCGGCCCCGGACTGCGGGTGAGCGCGGGGGCGTGGCCGGCGGGGGCGCGGGCCCAGGCGGCGGGGCTGGGAGGGCTGGCCCGCGCGGAGGACGGAGCTGCCAGCCACTGCGGCGGGGCGGTGACCGGTAACCAGCCGCCCGCAGCCGCACGCTGGTCGGCCGGAGGCGCCGCGCGCCCCGCCCCGCCCCAGCCCAGAGAATTGAGGTGGGGGCTGAGCCGTGGTGAGGGAGCGGTGCCGTCCCTCAAGTTAGAAAGAGGCAGCGTTTTGTCTAGTGAAAGCCCCTCTCGGTGCACAGGTGGGCGAAAGCCCTTCACGAGACGAGAGGGGAGCACACATCTGGCGAAGGAGGGAGTGAGGATGTCATCCCGAAGAGGCAGCGCTAGGAGGGGTGTGTCCACTCGGCCGGGGGCGCACGGAGCAGCCTTGTAAGAGAAGGCGTGTTTTTCCTGAAGTTGGGATGGAGACTGCCCACCCACAGGCAGAGCTCTGGGGGCACCCTGGGGCTTACGTTCGGTGCCAAGCTATTGGGAGGCACCCAGTGGTTTCTACTCTGCTACCTTGGACAGGGTGAGGGGTGGTTCAGAGAACCAGTGGAGCAGAGATGAAGAATGCCCAGAGGTTGATACTGGTAAAAGTGTTTGCCCCAGAGCCTTCGATCTTGATAACTGTCATTTTAATGCACGATGTATGCTTGATTTCATTGGTGAGTTAAAATATGCTGTATCTGCAGAGCTGAAATACCACCATATTTCCAGAGAAAGCGTTCAGAGGAAATCCAATTATCTCCCCACACCCTTCAAATTAAAACTAGTTTATTTCCAGAATAGCTCATGATTGTATGAGCGTGTTGCCAAGAGTTCATCTCTATGGCTGGGAGTCAAACAGCCATCGCCTGCTCCGTGACCTTGGGACCTTTTTATTTTGTGTGTCATGTCTTTTGGGTAAAAAGATGCTGTAAATAATAATGCTAGTAAAAAGCTTTGTGATCCTTCGCAATTGTAGCCTAAGTATCAAGGTTGTCCTGAGGCTTCCATAGTGCTGCCATTGTCTTCAAAAGAAGCCATTTTTGAATGTCAATGAGTGAAGAGTTAACTTTTTAATCCGGCAAACTTGTGTAGAAATGGGTGTGTTACTTCTCTAAATGGAGTTTGTAATTTACTCGGAAATTGGTCAAAAGCACCCTGTTTATGGTACATCAGTTTCACTTTCGATACTGGAAGTACTGGAAGAGCTCTTCCAAGCCTTGAAGTGTATCTTACCCTTTCTCCCCCTCCTCCTCCACCCCCCCCCGCAATTTTCTTTATTTTGAGGTAGTGTTTCCCTAAATTGTCCAGGCTGTCCTTGAATGCCTCACCCAGGAGTAGCTTGAATTACAGAAATGTGCCACCATGAACTGCTATTTTATGGCCTTACTGACATTAGGAGATTAATTTGTAGGATTTCCAAGTCGGGGATTGAACTCAGGCCCTTGCACTTGCCAGGGAAGCGCTTAGTCCACTGAGCCATCTCCCCAGCCCGTTTTTCTTTTTTAAAAAATTTAGTTTTACCTATTTTCTGATCAAAAATTAAGAGAATATGCTTCTCAGTGAACCTCCTGCCTCAGCCTCCTGGGTGCTGGGATTAAGGCATGTATCATCACACTTGGCTTGCATTTTTTTTTTAATTGTGTGTGTGTGTGTGTGTGTGTGTGTGTGTGTGTGTGTGTGGGGCCAGCTCAGCCCACCAGGGGGGCGGGACTGGCTGGCATGTGCTGGGGGATTGAACCGGGGTCCCTGTGCTTTGCTAAGCTTGTTCTAAGTAGGTGCTTTAGACCACTGAGCCATCTCACCAGCCCTTGGCTTGCATTTTTAGTTCTGAAATAGTACATAAACTCCTTTTGTTGAAATACTAGGTTCCCTTAAAGTTTTAAGAAATTAGCATCTTTCTGAGAAAGCTCACATTTTATTTTTTATTTCTCTGAAGTTTTGCTTACATCCATAAAAATGAACAGAAATTAATTTGAAAGTTTAATAACTCCAAACCATTAGTAATTTGAAAGTTTTAAGAAATTAGGCCAAAAAAAAAAAAAAGAAAAGAAATTAGGCCAAGGCCAGCAAGATAGCTCAGCAGACTAAGCACCTGCCAAGGTAAGCCCAGGGACTAGGTTTGATCCTCCAGCACCACAGTACACGTTGGCCCTGTCCCTGGGCACACTGAGCCAGTCACCCCAGCAGATGTGGTGGCACACACCTGCAATCCTAGCACTGGAGAGGCTGAAAACAGGATCACTACAAGTCTAAGCTGCATAGTGAGGCCCTGTACCAAAAATGTAAGATTAAAAGCAAAAATAAATAAAAGAATTAGGCCATTTTTTAAAATTTAGCCAACTATTAAATGAGTGTTCCCTGATTTTTTTAGTCAAACATAACAATTACTTATATGCATTTTCCTCAAAAGGTAAAATATGAGGAAAGCAAGCAAGCTGCCATCTAAATACTCGCATATTTTATGTACATAATCTGATCTTCACAACATTGTGAGATTTGCTTTAGTGTTGCAGATCAAGAAATGAGTTTAAAGAAATTGAGCAACTTCTTTAGGATCATATGACTAGTGGGTGATAGGACTGCCTGCAATACTGGTCTTTACTCCACTGAAGGCCAGTGTGCTTTCTAAGTAGCATCTATTCCAAACACACACACACACACACACACACACACACACACACAATGTTCTGCAAACATTGTCAATTGAGCTCTCATTAGTGAAGATGCTCTTGATTGTATGTTTCTTTGTGTGAACCCTGAGGACAATACTCAGAAATGTTAGAATGTAGTTTCTTTTCTGATTCCTTTTATAATAGCACTTACTTTTCTTTTTCTTTTTTGAGACAGGATTTCAGTAGGTAGTTTAGGCTGGCCTCAAACACCTGGTGATCTTCCTGCCTCAGACCCAGGCTACAGGCGAGCCTTAGGACTGCAGGTGTGCACCACCACACCCAGCCTACTTTATTTTTCCTACCTGAAATAGGCCTAACTTCTCTGACTTGACATACTGAATGTTTGCAATGCATTTTTTTTTTTTTTTTTTTTTTTGAACCGGGAATTGAACTCAGGCCCTTGTGCTTGCCAGGAAAGCGCTTATTCCACTGAGCCATCTCCCCAGCCCATTGCAATGCATTTTGTTTTTTTAAAAAATTTTATTTATTTATTTATATGTGTGGGGGGGCAGCTCAACCCACCAGGGGTCGGGGCTGGCTGGCATGTGGTGCTGGGGGATTGAACCGCGGTCCCTGCGTTTTGCTAAGCTTGTTCTAAGTAGGTGCTTTAGACCACTGAGCCATCTCACCAGCCCCTGCAATACATTTTGAAAAATTAATTTGAAGGTAGTTTGATAAATAGTGAATAACTTTAAAATTATCACTTCCCTAATGAGTGTCTTAAATTCTCTAGCAATTTGGTTTGCTCGGTTTGCTGTGCTCTAGTTCAGGCTCACCTAGAACTCATGGTGTGGCCCATGCTGACTTGAACGCATGACCTGAAGTCATGGTGATCTTTCTGCCTCAGCCTTAGTGCTGGGATTACAGGTGTGCATTATGAGACTTGGCTCTTGCTATCACCTTAGTGCTAGGAGGTTATGGTTCCTGATTTGTATTTTTAGTTGAGCTGTTCTATTTTTCTGGCCTTGGTAAAAATCCTGGATAACACTAGAAAAGAAGCTCTAAGCACCAGCAGTCTCTTTTTTTTTTTTGTAGAACCGGGGATTGAACTCAGGCCCTTGCGCTTGCCAGGGAAGCACTTATTCCACTGAGCCATCTCCCCAGCCCCACCAGCAGTCTCTTGCTACACCAGACCACATTCACTGCCAACAGATCAAATTATTGCCAACCAAATAGATTAGGTCTTCCTTGGGTGTGTGTGTGTGTGTGTGTGTGTGTGTGTGTGTGTGTTAGAGTGAGGGGAGCATGCTAGTGATCTTACATCATTAGCTTTACTATAATTATAGTAATGATAACATAGGGTTGGGGAGATGGCTCAGTAGAATAAGCGCTTGTCTGGCAAGCACAAGGGTCTGAGTTCAATACCCTGTTCTGCCAAAAAGAAAAAAAAGGCTGGGGGGGGGGTGGCCCAGGGAGATGACTCAATGGAATAAGTGCTTCCCTGGCAAGCACAAGGACCTGAGTTCAACTCCTGGTTACACACACACACACACACACACACACACACACAAAAGGGGGCCAGGCAGATGGATCAGTAGAATAAGCGCTTGCTTGGCAAATGCAAGTGTCTGAGTTCAATCCTCGGTTCTGCCAAAAAAAAATAAAATTCATTATTTTTTAATACAGCATTTTTAGAATAGAACAGAATTTTGAATACTTCTGTTTTCATATTTAAACATGATTTTGTTCATAAATAAGAGAATAAGTTATTTTATATACTAAGGGCAAGGGAGATAGCTCTGGTGTCTTAAGTGCCTGCCTGGCAGGCATAAGGACCCAGATTCAAACCTTGGCACCCTATGCTGTGCGGCCCTGGAACTCGGGGTGTGCGGTGCTGCCCTCAAAACCAGGCTTAGTTCAGAGATACTTAAATGTGAAGCTTAATGTTTTGTAACTAATAAGTGGTACAGTTCACCTGTCACCCTTTTGAGTTACCCAAATGATATAATTGCCATTGGTTCCTCTCAGGTGCTGTATTGACCATCTTTAAGCACTTTCAGAATCTCTGGATGATGGGTGGATGAAGTAGGCAGCAGGATTTCTTGACATACGGGGAAAGATCACCTGTGCAGATGAGGGGGCGATCATGTCGTCCTGCGTTGTTTGTGCAGGTTCTCCACTCCAGCCTCTCCTTGCAGGCCCTCCCGATCGCCAGAGAAGCACTTATTCCACTGAGCCATCTCCCCAGCCCCTCCTTGCTGCCTTTGTCCCCTGCAGAGTTCCACCTCCCTTTTGACCTGGCAAATGGTATCAGCTATTGATTGGCTTTCCCTCCCAGGCCATTCCCCAAAACAGGAAGTTTCCATTAATCGCTAGC